TATACTATGATCTCCCAAGTGATCTACTAAGAGATCCAGACACCCACTATTATTTTATGTCTCTGTACACCCTGCTTTAACAGGTAAAGTATTTAGTAGTTTTTAGACACACAAACAGTCAACATACAGCACAAGAAAATCAATAGTATCACATTACAGCATAACAGCATTCAGTACAAGACATTACAAAAAATGAGAAAATTAATAAAAATACATGTAAGACTAAACAAAACACTCCAAAGCTAAGTAAGGTGTGGATCTTCGGTATTAGGTGCATGCAGCACAGCCATTCCCACTAGAGCAGGGGCGGCCACAATTTTTCGTCTGGAGATCTACTTTTCAAATGATGAGCTCAATGAGATCTACCAACAAAAAACACCTGCATTCAGGGGCGGGAGGAGGCGTGGCAGTGCATTGAAGTCAATGGCAGCGCAGGCAGGCCCCTCGCCCACAGTGCGATCGCCTGCACCCGGAACCCAGGCACATTAGTGCCTGCGTTCCAGTCCAGTGCGATCCGTAAAAATGCCCCCTGATATTTCCCTTTTAAAATAGAAAAAGAAATTGAGGACACAAAGTCCTCAATCCCATTTTCTGCAGCCTCTGTTCTAAATCTAAATCAATGGAAAGCACAGAGACTTCCCATTCTTTCAGAAAATATTTTACTATCAATCAGTTTCTGAATGGGGAGGAGCCTCTGTAGTGAGTGCCTCTCCCCATTGAGAAACTCATGAATGAGTTCATTTATAAGTTATTTCAGTTATTTATTTATTATTCAGTTATTTATGAGTTCATTTATAAGTTATAAGTTATTTCAGTTATTTACAAACACTGGAGTGATCAGCTGATCGTTCCAGTGTTTGTGCTGCACAGAGGACCGGTACATCACTGATATGTACCGATCCTATGCCGCTCGGCCACGCATACGGGGGCTCATGCATAGGATGGGGATTACGCATAGGCTCCGTATTAGGATCACTGAGAGAGAAGGATCTCCCTCCAACTCTAACACTTGTAGCCAACAGCTCCCGAAGGGATCATGTTCTTAACCCCGTCCCTTGCCATCTATAGAATCTCACAGGTCCCTCATCACCACACCGTTGGATCACTGCTCAGGGGATACAGGCGGGAGCAAGGTCTCTCCGCCCGGACCCTCCAAGGTGCACACCCTGCTTTAAGGTCATAGTGTGGTGTGTGCTGAAAAAAGTAACACATTCCTTACTTTTTTCAACGCAGCAGGATGCAACGCAGTACAACTGCATTGCACCCCACTGTACTGAATGAAATGTTGCTTGTAACATTTTCATAAAGTTCTAACAAAAAAAGTACAGAGTGCGATGCCCAGGGATGCACACTGTGCCGGCGCATCGCACACCAGACACTGTCCAAACTGCAAATTGCTTTGCAAAGTGAACAGCCTATTTGCCTAGCTGCAAACGCGCATATTCGATACGCCTAGGTGTGAACCCTGCCTTAAAGTATTGAAGCCAGAGGCAGCTGGAGGGCAAGCAACCTCAGGAAAAGGTCAGCAGTGGCACCTATTTTCATTAGTACAGGTTCAGACTATATTCATTGTCTACATGCCTTACATTTTCAAATATTTATAAGCAAAAGATATACTCAAGGCTAATCTAAATAAATAAAATCAATGCAGCTATGTTATTAACAAAAATTGATCAATAATAAATACAGCGCTGGCCTAAAGTACATTATAGTGAACCATTATTCTCTATTATAAAAATGCATCCATATGGGCCAATATCTTTTGATCAGGGGTGTGCTGGCCCGTAGGTGCACAGGGGCTATCTGTCATTCCTTTTAATGTTACCCCTGCCACTCTGCACCAATTGTTCCACCACCAGGGCCCGTACATGTCATGCCCATCAATTCTCACTTTACACAGCTATTTCAGCAAGCCAAAAACATGAATAATGGCTGCGACTCACGCTCTGTCTTCTGCTACGCCTGCAACCTTTTGCTTGGCAGCATTGTACACAAGTAGTAATGGCCATTGTTGGAGGGCCTGTTCTCTTCCTGCTATCAGCACCTTCCACAACCTGGAGAAAACATAGCATGTTCAGACACACCCTGGGTGCTGCTGGAAACCACACTGATTTGCTGGTTGGCCATGTGGGCCAAGCGTCCAGGAAGGAAGAGACAGATGGTATGGCATCTGGTGATCTTTTCAAAGTGAACAAAGAAAAGCCTAAACTGAATAAATGACTGACTAAAATTAAAAATGTAAAACGTGGGGCACAGTAACAATGGTATAGTTCATTTTGTGATTAGTAACTCCCTTCTGGGCAGGGCCAGATTCACCACAAGGCCACCGGGGCCTCCCGCTGACACGCTGGTCCCGGGCTCCGCTGTGCCCGGTGCGAGCCCGGGACCAGCACAGTGCCTCTGTCACAGGGGATCAGAGGGAGATCGGTACACGACCTCCCTCCGGTGCCCTCTCCGCTGTCAGAATGCAGAAGTGATGTATATTACATCACTTCCGCATTCTTGTGTCACTCTCCAGCTTCAGATGCTGGAGAGAAGCTGATGAAGCAGATCTCTGCTTCATCAGCTTCTTCAGGGGGGTCCTAGGTGACATTAGGGCTCTTGGAGACCCATGATGCCTCCATAAAGAGGACCAGTCACATCTTTTGCTATCACATAGGGGTTTTTCTTTGCCCCCTATGTGATAGCAATAAAGTTAAGTGAAAAAAATAGGAAAGAAAAATTAAAGTCCCTCCAAAAAATTTAAAGTTACACATAAAAAAGAATTTAAATTATTTTTTTTTAAAGTCCCCCCATACATACACGCATGTAAACAGGCGTCGGGTGCGCATACGTGCGAAAACGACGATTGCGCCCATTACGCCGCACATGTTACATATCGTCGCGAACATCGGAATGAGAGCAATAATTCTAGGGCTATCAATCACTGATAACACTAAACTGATGAGCGGTAAAAGCTTTTAAAGCGTGCATATGGTCAATTTTGGGTATGGTAGTTTTTTGCGATTTCGCTGGTGCGCGCAATTTTTAAGCTTGACACGTTTGGTGTCTATTTACCCGACGTGACCCCGTCTTTTATATTTTACCAAAAATATGGGTAATAATCATTGTTTCCTAATATAATGAAAAAAATACTTTTTTTTTTTCAAAATTTTCAATAATGTTTCCTTAATATAGTAAAAAATAAAAAAAAACCCCAGTGGTGATTAAATACAACCAAAAGAAAGCTCTATCTATCCCTAAAAAAATGGTATAACATTTATTTCAGTACAGCGTTGCATGATGGAATAAATGTCATTCAAAGTACCGCAGCGCTAAATACTGAAAAATGGCCTGGCCAGGAAGGGGGTCTAAACACCTGGTCTTGAAGTGGTTAAAAGAGAAAGTAATCTCAACAATTGACTGACTAACAATTGGAAAACTATATAAACCCACTTTTTCAACAACAAGTCTGTCATGGCCAGCACATAATCTGTCAAACTGATGCCCAGGAACCCATGGAAAAAAATAAAGAGCTTCATTGCAATGTAGCCATCCAGGCTAGTACTTTTGTCGGCACTGGTAAGCCCTATGTGCCAGAGAGCTTCAAGGGACACTCTGCCTCTTGCTCCAAGGCCCTTCTCAATTCAAGTTTCTGCTTTTAAGGTGACCCTGTCCCCATAGAGTCACTTGTAAAAGAAGCCTGGGCTATAAAGAATAGCATATACTGTATATATTTATTACCTTTCCAGCAGCCTCTACTAAAGTCACTGCTTTGCTTCTTTGTAGCGGCTACAGGTATTTCCACATTTCAAGGTGTGTTGAATATCTGCTCTCCTTGCCACATGCTGTGTTTTCGCCTGCCAAATCTTATGTCTTCCAGTGACATAAAAGCCAACAGGAGGAACCACAGCACGCAGCTGGAAGAGTAAGAATTCAACACACCTTGAAGTGTGGAATACCCGCAGTGCCTGATGAGAAGCAAAGCATTGACATTGGAAGATACAAGCCGCTGGAAAGGTAAGTAGACATACTATTCTTTTACAGCCCTGTCTTCTTTTACGGGTGAACCTGTGATACTTTCAGGTTTCTAGTTGTGT